CATAGCCCATGTCAATCCTCCATACGTTGTTCATCCCTTTCTCACTCAAGTAGCCTCGGTTCTCAGTGAGATTGCTAATTTGAGATTGGTTTGGTTTTATCCGACCCTTTATATTGTTTCTCTATATTCCACATATAAGTAACACCATCCAGTATTTGTCTTTCTACCTCTTACTAATTTTTCCAGTGTAACCCCTTGCAGTTCATATGTATAGTTACAAATAGCAAGAGTTCATCTTTCTTTCATAATTGAGCAATATTCCATTGTGTATATATGTCAAATCTTCTTATATTCACCGACCTATCTTTGGGCACTAAGATTGTTTCCACAAATTAGTTATTGTAAATAGTGCTTAAATTAACATAGGAGTGCATATGTCCTATGAATTGAATTATTGGGTTTATTTTTTATTCACGTTGAAGTTCATAGGTTTGTTTCAACAAATGTTTCAGTTAGCAAACTTGGAGACTATCTTTGTGATGACCTTAGCTAATAGAAGCACCTGAAGATACAAAAGCACAAGAAGATATAGGTGATGAGAATAAAACCATCAGTTATCTATTACGATATTTCTTTATTCATTAGACTGCTGTGCCATGTCTACTTTAACTTAACCATACCCTATATTATATTGTTATTGCAAATATGGTTTAAAACATGAAGTAACCCCTAATCCCTCTTTTTGTTCCCATGTTTCTTGGATTGTATTTCTCTGTTCTAAAAGAATTTAAATTGACTCTTCAATAAAAGTTATTCTTATATTTAAGATCCAATCTGGTGATTTTTATGGATTTGTATATTTAGTTTACTACACATATAAGTAGTATATTACTTTTCCAATTACATAGTAGTATCCTTATATTGAGATCTCTATCACTCTATAATATTTTATCCAAAGATTTCTTTTTCCCCAAGGTAGGCTAAGGTGGAAAATCATATTAAGGCATATTAAGTTAGCAATGCATTTTACAACCTCATGTTATAGTTATGAGTCAGCCAAAAGGTAAATTGCAGTGTGTGTACTCAGCGACTAAAAATAAGCATTCACAGAAAACCTTAGGAAATTTATCGATATAAGGAACAAAGAAAAGGTACCTCCGGAGTGATAGGTGAATATGTTGATTTACCTAAATTAATCTTCTCAATTTAGCTTATTTGTGTGTGTCTGATAAAAAAAGGAAGTTCAAAATTATATGACAGAATATAGACTGATAGTCGAAATAATTGGGTTCTAATTCTTACTTATCACTAACTAGGTGAGTGACTTTATTTTATTTTTTTAAAAAGATTTATTTTTACTTATGCATACAAGAGCTGGGGTATAGGCCAGAGGTGTGTGCGTGGGGGGGGGGGGTGAGAGGATTCACCAGAGACAGAGTGGGGAACAGAACAGGCAGTACACTGCTGAGGGGAGCAGCAGGCAAGACAGGAGAGGTCTGCTGTGCCATGTGGGTAGCTCCCTGGCCAGCCAGGGGTCGAACTCATGCTGCAGAGACTGTGGACAGCTTCATAGTGCAGTGCTTAATTCCTTGTGCCACCAGGGAGGCCCTGATGAGTGACTTTAGATAAAACACTTAAACTCTCTGGTTCTCATTTGAACCAAATGATAATTTCTAACGTGAATATCCAGTAATTTGGTGAGATCTACCTTTGGATAATCTGTGGTAAGTAGGTGCTTTCTGCACAGTCCACCCTTGTCTGGAACCCAGGCTTTTGTTCCTCACCCCTAATCAGAGCCACTTTGTCCTCCACCAACTATCTATTTCAGGAAAGCCTCAGAGCTGGGATTCAGCAGTGAGGAGGGGGTTATATAAAACATCATATCCATTGATCCAATAAGGTAGAGACCTGAAGGGGTATGGGATTAGTCAGAGCCCAAAACATGTTATGGAGGACTCCCAGGCCTACTCTGCTAAACTCATCCTCTTATGCCTTTCCTAGTTCTCTGTATCCATTTACCTGAGCTTCCCCCGTATGAATCTGCTTCCATATAAAGATTAACATCCAAGTTGAAATCTGCCAATGAAGACAGAGAAGCAGTCATAACGGAAAGTAAGCAAAGAAAGTTGAGAACCATTCCAACTGAAAGGGAAAAAAAACCCCACAATAACAAAAACTATGGTTCTGTATGCCCCCTATTAACATAGAAAACATCTTTCCTCAGGAGCTCAACTATTTTCCATAATCATGATCTTTTATTAACAATTCACATCTTCCCAGAAGACACATTTATTTTTCTGTTCTCTTATGTCAAAATTATCTTCTGGGGGCCTCCCTGGTGGAGCAGGTGGTTGAGCGCGGTGCTGTGAAGCTGTTTGCAGCCTCTGCAGTGCCGGTTTGATCCCCACCGGCCTCGGAGCAACCCAGATGGTGCAGCAGAACTCTCCTGTCGTGTCCACTGCTCCCCTCAGCAGTGTACCTCTGTCCTTCTGCCTGTTCTGTTCCCCGCTCTGTCTCTGGTGAATCCTCTCACCCTCCCGCGCATCTGGCCTGTACCCCCGTTCTTGTATAAATAAAATAAATCTTAAAAAAAAACTTCTGATGTGAAATAATACAGATATGGGCTGACTTTTATGGAGACTGCCAGAATTTCTCTTTCTACCTTTGCTTTGTTTCTCAGAGCAGTTGGTTAGTATAGATCCAAAATAGGAGTTGAAATATGCAATGTTAGCTACAGAGGAAGCAGCAGGGGTAACAAGAAATGAGAAACAGGAAATGTCTGGTAAACAGCTCTGATAGTTATCTAAAAGTTAAATTGAATCACAGACACTAGAAATTAGAATTGGATCTAGAATTGCAGACTTAAGGATAACTAACTGCCTCCAATCTATATCACAGTGTCAACTTAATTTGTAATTTTTATATGATGTTATTGGCATTCTATTCTGTGGTAGCACTGGAGAGCATTTATTTATTTATCATTCTCCCAGTGAGCACATTAAATTTGGAAAGAGAAATGATTAAGGCAAAAAGCCTATGTGCCCCTAGTATGTTTATTATCATGAACATTGATTGCATTTGGAATTAAAATGAATGAAGTTACCTTTTTATAGTCTTCATATTTATAAGTGAAAATGTGTAACTGATGAATTTTGCCCTATTATTGGGCAATTTAAACCTTTTCCAATATAGGATAGGAAATTAGAATGAATGTTTCTTTCATAGCATTTACATTATGTAGGCTAAATAAATTGATTAACTAACATACCTCTCACTGGCTCTTTGTCTAATTTGGGAATAGTAAAGTCCATAGTTAATTTCAGATTCTGAGAGGAGAGACAAAGGAGGAGCCGGTACAATTTAAGTTGTTCTGCAACAATTAAAAATCTTTGCCACCTTCCTGTGAAACTCTGGTTTGTGCCCCTTTATCATGGGAGTAACTCTTGCCATCATTAAAAAACCTTGAGCCACATTTCAGGATACTTATTAGTGAGGCCTCTGCAGACTTCTGATCTCTTTATTCTTGGGGGGAAAACAAATAGAAACTTAAAAACTGGGTTCCTTGCACTCCCATCCCCTTGTTCTTCATTCATATCCAGAAAGGTGATGGGACACTATTTCTCTAGCAAAGGAATGTTTTCACATACTAGCGTGTTGTCAGAAACAACTGGTTAAAGAAGTTAAGGGGGGGGGGAAAGGGAAGAGAGGAATCCAGATCTACCTCCTATAGCTGGTTGTTGCTTTCCCCACAGGCCTCTGCATTGATAGACACCCCCCTACACACGCATTTCCCCTTCCTCTCTCCTCACATCTGCTCTCTTTTCTGACTCCCTGCCCCCTAGTTTGGCCTCTCATAGTAAGAGGTCAATATGTGTTCACACTCGGGAAATCTCATTGAAGAATTTTTGTCAATGGACAAGTCATAAGAAGCCCTTCCATTTTAGGGCTTGTTGACGTCACCAAGGAGGCGATAAATATCTGTTGATATAATTGGATGTGAGATTCAGTGTTGAGATAGCAAAACTCTGCCCCTCGCTCCCTGGCAGGGCCCTATGATTTATGCAGGAGCAGAGGCAGCACGCAATCGAGCTGTCAAGAGAGCGTCAGCTTATTAGGCAAATGCTGCGTGGTTTCTGAAGAGGGTCGACGCTATAAAATCCCACTCCAGGCTCTGGTGTGGAGAAACTCAGAGCCCAAGTGAAGAGGAGAAGAAAAAGAGAGTAGAAGCAGAAAAGAGAAGGAAAGAAAAACCCTGAAAAAGCCCCGGGGACGTCCCTCTGCAGAGAGGCAGAAGTGCCCGCTCACCTGCAGAAGAGCCTCAGAAGGTAGGGAGCTCTTAGACGGAAACATGCCTCCAACTTTGCACTGCTGAGCAGCCGCGGAGCCGGCTGTTCTTGTGCAACTGTGTGTGTGTGTGCGTGTGTGTGTGTGTGTGTGTAGATTCCGATAGTAGCTGGGATGTGACAGAAGTAAACTTAGACGGCTGCTCATTGTCATCTGAACTGCCAGTGCCAGTTACTCCTCGCCAGTTGAGTATATGAGCCCCCCCCCAAAATTCCCCAACTGTCCGGACCCCCGAGAGAAGGTCGCAAGGACAGGGATGGAAAAGGAGGAGGCGAGAGCAGCTCTCAGGAGGAAATTGCTGAAATATCGGGAAAGGGGTGGAGGGGCGGTTAAAGCGACTGAGATCTTAAATTTGTAATTCTCTAGAGCTCGGGGAATCGGTTTGAGGAATCATTAGCAAGGGGACTCAGGGACCGTCCCTTCGAGGGCCTCGTAAAGAAAAGGTCCACTCCAGCCTGGCGAGGGAGACAGCTTTGGCGCCGAACCCTACAGGCGACCCTTTTTCGACTCTCCCTCTCTCTCCAACTCTAAAAGTCCGCGTACAGGGAGTTCAGCACCGCGGACAGCGACCACCCCACCTCAGAGCCTCGTCCGTGTCCTGTGGGTAGACCCCATCCTACACCTCCCTGCAGAGCTAAATTCTCACCAATTCTTTCTTTCTCTCTCCTCTCGTTCCGCCCTCTGTTCACCTCTGTGCGGCAGCTAGAGTCCCTAACATGCGCTTGCCGCTGCTCGTGTCCGCGGGTGTCCTGCTGGTGGCTCTCCTGTCCTGCCCGCCATGCAGGGCCCTCCTCAACAGGGGGCCCGTCCAGGGAGCCCGTCAGGCCCCACAGCCCCTGGATTTCTTCCAGTCGCCGCCGCAGCCCCAGCAACCCCAGCAGCCGCAAGCTCGTCCCGTCCTGCTCCGCATGGGGGAGGAATACTTCCTTCGCCTGGGTAACCTGAACAAAAGCCCTGCTACTCCCTTCTCGCCGGTGTCTTCTCCTCTTGCCAGTGGTAGCGGTAGCGGCAGCAGCACCGGCAGCCGCCTCTCTACCGACGAGGCTGCCGCCAACTTTTTCCGCGCTTTGCTGCAGCAGCAGCAGCAGCAGCAGCAGCTGCTGCTGCCTCGGCGCCCGCTCGACAGCCCAACTGGTCCCACAGGGCGCGGAGCCGAGAACGCCCTCGGCGGCCGCCAGGAGGCACTGGAGAGGGAGAGGCGATCCGAGGAGCCGCCCATTTCGCTGGATCTCACCTTCCACCTCCTCCGAGAGGTCTTGGAAATGGCTAGGGCGGAGCAGTTAGCGCAGCAAGCTCACAGCAACAGAAAACTGATGGAGATTATTGGGAAATGAAACGGTTCGTTTGGCCCAAAAGATTCTGTATTTAGCGCACACACACACAAATAAAAAATATTACAGCATTCTGTACCATAGCGTTGCGCCTATACCATTTGTTTATTTTTATATAGCTTGAAGCGTAGGGGATGTACAGCAAGAGAAACTATACTCCTTAACTAGCATGCACAGAGTGTATTCACGTGCAGAAAAACAACAAAATGTTATTTGTATTGTCTACTTTTAGTTTCCATTTCCAGGTGTCTTTATTGGTGTTTTCAAGAGAGTATGGACCCGGGAGGAAATGTTGTGAAGAAACGGACAGAAGTCATACAATTGATTTTGTTGTGGTCTGAGCCAAAGAAAATGTCATTCTCTTGGGTGGGTGAGACAAAAATCTGTAAGCTCTTTGAATCAAGTTTTCTTGTAAACATGTCAGTAATAAAACATCTTTCCAATCCTTGGTCAATTTGGTTGTGCAACAGAATGTTGAATATTTATATTTTTAATAAAAGCTGCAAAGTTAATTATGATTTTATTTTCCTTTTTAATACTAGTAGGGGAAATACTCTTGGCTCCTGGATTCTTCTTGACTTCAGTAGACAAAACTCCTTGCATTTTATTTTCTATTAATAATACAAACACATGTCACTGGCCCACACAAGCCCTGCAATAGCCTGGGGCTTACCTCTGTACCTCTGATTAGTCTGAGGTTGAGTGAAATAATTTGAAAATAGTTGCTTGCAGCTGCAAGATCATAATTCTACAAATGAAAGATTGATTCATGTGGAAATGACATCTAACTCTAAGATGTAAAATAATAGAGAGGAATAGAGAAGGAGGAAAGGAAAAGAGAAGCTTTTGGCAGGGCATTCCTCTAAGCACACAGGGCCAAAATGCTGCATATTTTTTTTCTGTGAGAAAGGACTGCTTTATGAAGTCACTACTTTGGTACTATAAAATATTTTTTCTAAATTACTTTCCAGTGCCTACTTTTAAAAGGAGAAGTGTAATAGCACCTCCACTTTAAACAACCAAATTTAGTTGCTATAATATGGCATGTGGGAAAATATTTCTTATAAAGAATACTTTGACTTTAATAATTTCACAAATACCCTCCTGATTTAAATCTATGCCAACACTAGTCACTTTCATTCTTAGCAATATAAATTACCTCTATTCACTTCTAAAATAAAAAACACATCTTATTAGTTTGCAATGCATTCACCTTTGGTAGTTTGGTTAGAACTTAAGCACTTCAATCAAATATTTAACATTTCTCCTGGGACCCTTTAAATACAGTTGACTATTAGATTAATAAGATAATATGAAAACATTGAATAAATCATTATAAGACTGAATTGTTAAAAACAGTCTTTATTTAAGAGTTTATACAGAGAAGTTATACTTATATTCTGAAGAAGATATTATGGTGTGACAAATAAAGTATTATTTAAATATTCATATATATTAATATATATGTTGCGTGTGTGTGTGTGTGTGTGTGTGTAAGAACAACATGGAGTTGTCCTTACTGGGTTGGTACCTCAGTATACACAATGAGAAAATAGATAGTTTCTGTCGGAAAATCTTTTTCAATGACAGTGACTGATATATGCATATCTAAAACGAGGATTAGAAAATATGTCACAAGAATGTCCCAAATCTGCAGTTTTCTGGACTGTGAAAGTGTCACCAGAGTCAAAACATTTCTAGTATGCCTTCAGCAACATCTATTATGGAAAAGGGAAAACCTTTATGAAACATTTCATACCTTTGGTCAATGATTTACCTTTTGTCCATATATTAAGAAATTAGTCACTTCTGAATAACAATGAATTTCACTGACCATCTGCACTGTTAATGAAGAAAGAAAACAAAAACTACTATGCTAGAATAATTAAAACAAGCGCCTATCTGAGGATAGCATAGTGCCCACTTTTTTCAACACTTGCCACTTGTCATTGACACATTCACACACATACCACACCTACACACCCTTCCTAATATTTTCCACACAATAAAAGATAAGCTCAAGTTTCTTTTTTTCCAATGCCTTTTGCAACTATTTTCTCAAAGTATTATTTTCCCTCTTAATGTTAGATAAATCATCTGGAATTAGAAGTTTCTTTGTCTGCTTTGAATAAATCCTGTTCAGCTGTCCCTTTTATCATCTGTATCATATTGATTTTATTTAGACTCCCTGTTGCCTGTGTACATTTCAGCCAGGCAGACAGAGGGGCAACTGTTGGAATGAATGTCATTCACTCGGGGAGTTCAACCAGGAAAAGGAGAAGACGTGGCGACCTGGCTCAGAATCATCTCCATTCCCACTCCCTGAAGCTGCAGTCTGTCCCTGCAGGGGCGGGTCCTCAAATCCAATCTGCAACAGAAGAAAATTGATATCAGAGAAAGAAGAGACTTTTTCTTTGTGGCTAGGCTCAGTCACTTTTCTAGTGAGGAGAAAGGATAATAATAGTTATTATTCTAGAGGACATAATTAATAGTAGGGATAGAAAGCAAGCTCCAGTTATCTTGCCTATGGCTAAGAGCCATGATAGTAATTCACACTCATGATCCAAAAGGGGAATAGTAATACATGCGGTGAAGGGAAGCTCTTGGGAAAAGTCCCGGGCTATTCTAATTTTTTGAGTCTACTTGTACATGATTTACTGAGATGAAAATTGCATTGATGTTAACATGAATTTGGGTTTAGAAAAGACTGCACAATAAATAAAATCTTAATTTAAGTGATATTTCTACGTCACATGTCATTCATGTTATGTCATTTCTTAACCACGAGAATAAGAATTTCCATCAGAATATGTATATGTGCGTATATGTATATATATATTTATACGTATATGTGTGTATATATATATATACATATATATATTTTTTAAAACTGCTGGCTTAGTTTTGAGCAAATCATGATTGAGAGGACTTTTTTCTGTAAGTAATGAAATCTAATAAACATCAATACACTTTTCTAGAGAATTATCTATCCTTTGCATAGCTATCTCTATAAAATATATTTATAAATAACTGACAGATATAACTTGTCCTTTTGAAGCAAGTGATTAATGTAACCTCACAAGTAAAATTTATATTGTTTTGAAATAAAAAATAATAGTGGAATGAGGGAGAATCATAAAGAAGCCTCGCTGAAATGCAATTGACAGATAAACTCCTTACATTTAAAGGACCATGACAAACACAGTTCTTCCTAAGAGGACTTCCAGAACATCATATTCTGATGACGCTCCTGATAAAATCATCCCACCAAATTAGAATATTATTGATTTCAAAGCAATGAGGTAGGCACATGCATTCAACTCAGAAGCCCCAGGTGATGAAGCTGCTATCTGGATGGACAATTTCAGCACAGGCAAAGCAGAACTTTGGTAAGCATGTTGTTGCTGCTCAAAAAATTGTTTATCGAAAATAAGTGACTGTCCTATGCTGCCAAATTTTATCCTAAATATGTGTTTAGGGGTTATGTTCCAGGTTCTCAAGTACTTGTGGGTTTGGACTTACCCTTCCCACTGCCATGTTGTTTCCTGATAGAAAGTTTTAAAAAGCCATGAAATCACATTTTGGTCATAGTAAAATAAAACCAAATGTGATGTTTTCTATGAAAGAATAGTTGAGATATCAAGTGAAATTGGACATTTTTTAAAGACTGCATTTAGATTCTGTTGGTAATGGGTTAGATGCCCTAGTGTCCTTGAAGATGGGGTAGAAAAAACATCCTGACAGAATTCCTGTCTCTGTACACAACAAACTCTTTTCTTCCCCATCATGATCACTTTACTCTCAAGAATCCTAAAAAAATAAATAAATAAAATAAAATAAAATAAACCCCACAACAACAAACAAACAAACAAAAACAAGTTACCTGGGCTTATCGTTGATATGTAAAAAACTTTTTCATTCTTTTTTTTAATTGAGGTAATGTTGGCTTATGTTGCTGTTTTTATTTTGGAAGTATAGGACCCCCTCCCTTCTGGTTATTTTACCACAATGCTACCACCACCAAAGCACCCTCAGTCTCACCACCACAGTCGATTTTGTGCTCACCCTCTTCTTTTCCCCCTCTGAATGCTTCAGTTCTAAAGTCTGCTTTCAAGAACTAACTTTTGAGTTTGGTTGTAAAAGTGTTTTTTCTAACCATTCTATAAGAGTGAATTCTTACTGGATGAATAGACCCTCAGGATCTGTAACTCATCTTCCTTGAAGGTAACTCCTAATCTAGAGGCAACTTCCATGAAAACTGTTCTGAAATAGTTAAGGATAAAACTAGTTGAGTAAGAAATTTTTAAAATTTATTTATGCATACAAGAACTGGGGTACAGGCCAGAGGTGTGGGGGTGAGAAGATTCACCAGAGACAGAGTGGGGAGCAGAACAGGTGGACTGACTGAAATACACTGCTGAGGGGAGCAGCGGGCAAGAGGTCTACTGCACCATGTGGGTAGCTCCCTGCCCAGGGATTGAACTCGTGCTGCAGTGGCTGCCAATAGTTTCATATGTTGCGTCTTAATCCCTTGCACCACCAGGGAGGCCCTGAGTAAGGTATTTTCTGTAAAAGATAAAATCTCGGTGAATCTGCTGGTGTCTAACAAACCATTGGAGATTACATTTAGAACAAGTGTATATTTTTGTGCTTTTCTGTACTTGAGATTAAAAATCTATCTTCTATTTAAAATATTTCAGCTGTTAGTACTGTACAGTCTTCAAAACTTGGTATTATACAGTTTGAGTTTGTTTCTTTTATATAACCCTGTTTTCAGGCAATTATTAGATTTTTCCTCCAAACAATATAGACCAATGCAGTCCTTCAGAGAAGAAAGGTCATTTCCACCAGCTACCAAGAACAGAGATTATCCTTTATATCTTTAGATAACATACACCATCTCCTTGATCATGCTTATGTAAACTTTAAAATCACCAATTATCTTAGCAAGGAAGTACTGTGTAAAGAGGCTTAGCCTGGTTTTGAAGCCCAGACTATTTATTAGCTTATTATAAGACTTGGCCAAGTCACATAACCTCTCTGAATATTGGTTATCTATTTTGTAAAAAGGAGATTATTTCAAGGACTGAATAAATAAAGATACCTAAAATATTTTGCACATGAATCACTTATATTAAGTATTTTATAAGCTTCCTTCCTTCCTTCCTTCCTTCCTTCCTTCCTTCCTTCCTTCCTTCCTTCCTTCCTTCCTTTCATCTTACGTTAGTGAAGATGTTCCTCGGCCATGCAGAATCACATGAGAACTGTTATGAAGAACTACAGACAATAGCAATGACCTCCAGAAAGAAATATTGCATATGCAATGTTCATCTTTCCAGAACTGAACAGCACTTATTTGATATAATCATAATTATCCATGACCCTTGTCAGTATACCTCCAACTTTTTTTGTGCCTCCTCATAAAGGAAGAATGAGTTAAAAATTTAGAAACCTCCTTTCAATGAGCACAACCCATTAAATCATAAACAGACATTTTTCTTATAGCCTTCCCTAAATGGAACTGTATATATGTATTCTTTAAATAGTTTTCCAAATGCTGGCTGTCCTCACAGGAAGTGCTGAACAAAGGACAGAATAATAAGCACTGCCCTCTTGCACTTGCTTTTGAGTTTGTCTTACATTCCAGTTTAGTTGATGGTGTATTAAACATGAAAAAAAGATTTTTTTTTTTTTACTTAAACAGCAGATTTATTTCTCACAGTTCTGGAGGTTGGGATGTCCACGACCAAAATGGAAGGATTTTTATTCCAATATTATTTCTGAACTTCATATATTTTCCTCAGGAGTCAAAATAAACTAACAACCATTTAATACTGTGCTGTATCATAGTGGAGCTTCAGATAATATGAGAAATAAAAAGTTGTGTCAAAAATAAAACCAGGAAATAGAATAGATAACTGTGAGACCCAAGTCAGTTAAGATCCACAAAGACTAGCAGACAAGAGTGATATACTTTTGCTTGGAGGAAGGACTTTTTCTCCAAGATGAATTTGATAAGGATATCTGGATATTCACAAAACAGACGCACTTGGAAACATAAAATCTTTTGATTTCTGTCCTTTTGCTATCAAATTTGTTTTGCAAAGGGAAAAATTATCAGATTATGAAACTCGTTATTGTTTGATTCCACAGAAGAGCAAGGTGATGAGTGACCCTTCCACCCAGAGCTGTGTGAAGTACAAACATCATCCTTGACAGGTTACAGTATCCAGAATCATTTTTTGTTGATGGAGACTAAGGAGCTTATGGACTCTGGTTCTGGGAGCTCTCAGGACAGGTCTAGTATAGGCCGTCTTGGCTGACTTAAACTGTGTACATGGTATTTTGAAAAAAAAAAAATCTTGAATTAGTTGCAAACATTAAAATATCAGGAGCAAGAATGTAGAGAAATATTGTCCACTGTTGGTGAGAATACAAAATGGTGTAACCAATGAGGAAAATGTGGAGATTCTTCAAAAAATTAAACCCAGGATGACCATATGATTCAGCAATTCAACTTTTGGGTATATGCCAAATGCATTGAAAGCAGAGACACACAGGCAGTTGCACAGCCATGTTAATGGCAGCACTGGTTGAATAACCAAGACGCAGAAGCAACTTGTGTGCTCAATAATGGATGAATGGATAAGCAAAACGTGGTATGTACATATAATGGAATATATTCAACCCAGGAAGGAAATTCTGAGACATGCTATAACCTTGGTGAATCTTTGGCTTAGTGACTTAGCTGGTCACCAAAAAACAAAGACTTGTAGACTTGTAGGAGGTAGCTACAGTAGTCAAATTCATAGGAACAGAAAATGGAATGGTAGTTTTCAGTGACAGGGTGGAGGTAGGGGAGAGGAAAATGGCAAGTACAGGGTTTCATTTTAACAAGATGAAAAATTCTGGAGATTGCACAGAATAATGAATACAATTAATACTACTAAACAACTTAGAAATGGTTAGGATGGTAATTTTTTATGTTATGTATTTTTTAACCACAATTAAAAATTTAATTAGCAGATTTCACACTAAAATCTGAATTTGCAGCTTCCCTTGACAAAATAGACTTTAGCAACCCAGAGCTTGTATGGACAATTGAGCAGCAGAGCTCCTTTTTCCTCTTCTGCGGCGGGATTCAAAGGCCACATGTCATTGTGCTTGTAGAGCTGTTATGCTCACAATAAAGAAGCAGCAAATGTTATCTTGTATTTATGCTTCTATCAACATTTTTCTTTTTACTTGGCCTGCCTTTTTATTAATGTTACATTCTTGGTGTCTAAAGGCATATAAATTCGTTGCTTTTAACAGAAGGTTAGCTTTTATATAGGAAGGTGTGAAAAAAGAGTAAAATGTCCAGTGCAG